GAAAACCTTACTACTCCAGAGGTCAAGAGAAATCCCCACACTGTCAATTTAATATTTCTGCTTGCTGCCCACAAGGCATGAAATCACAGCCTGCCACTCAGTGTTGAAGGTCATTTTCCTTTAAGAAGTGCATGGTGATGTCTCGATAACTTGTGGCTTCGAACATATGGGCACCAACTCCCCTATTAGATCCTCTGGGGACTGTCATCAATGGGCCTGGTTAATAAAGGGGATGTCCTGCCAGGTGGCCTGGCCTGGTGGCCCTTGACTTATGGTGCTCTTGGCAGCCTCTTGGGAAAGGAGCTGCTCACTGTGCTCTCATTTTCAGGGGCTTGGGCTGGCGGAGAGCCTGTCTGCCTAGTGTGTCACGTATTCCTGTCTTAATCACTGTCTTTTTCTTTACTAGCATCTTTATTCATTATTCACAACAACTTTGGAAACTAATTAAGCAGTGGTCTCTTCCTCTCTGTAGCAGCAGTTTGCCTTTCTTTATAGGTTCTCAGCTCTTTATTCCATGTCTGTACTTGGGACACTGCTGTCATCTCAGTTTAGATGTTAGGGGTAAAATGTGCCATGTTGGTTTTGAGCAATTCCTAAGCAGGGAGCAGAATTCCCTTTGCAGGTGTTCACCTTGCCAAAATTGTTTAGGAAATTCAGTTATATTCTTTGGTTCTCAACACACAAACATTTCTGTATTTTATTTTTTAGCTCAACCGTGTTCCCGTGTAGCTACATTATCTTCCTATTTATCATTTTAATGGCTGCTTAATATTCCACCCAGTTAACATGCCATAATTTACTTAACTATTCCCTATTGTTGAGCCCTAATTAAAATTTAAATCTATCCTTTAATACAGAGGGAAGCTGGTTTTAATGGCTACAATGGCATCCCGACAGCCTAAGCTGCCATTACAGACCCAGATTTCTCAAAGAACAATCAATCCTGCATGAGAGGTGTCATGCAGGTCCTTCTGATTGAATAGCTAATCTTTTCTCAGCACATTTTTCTTTTAGACGGCTGTGGATATAGTATGCCTGTTTCTTCTCAGTGTTGCTTGACACGAAGCTGTATGCAGGTGGCATTTCCAGGCATGTCGTCACTGGTGTCTGGGATTTTAACAAATTAACGGGAATCGAGGGTATGGAATGGTGTCAGGCTCTCTGTCAGTTCTTGTTCATCTCCTCTCCCATTCACTTGAGTGTCTGCATTGGTTTCTGGGGGGCAGAACACAGTGGTCCCCACAAAAGCGTACCTGTGAGATGCTTTATGCCCTTAGAGCCCTGATTCTCAAACTGTGGGTCTTGACCCCTTTGAGGCGGGGGTGGTTAGACAACTCTTTCACGGGGGTCACCTAAGACCATTGGAAAACAGAGGTATTCATTATGACTCATAACAGGAGCAAAATTGCAGTTAGGAAGTAGCAACAAAAATCATTTTATGGTTGAGGTCATGGCAATATATGTGCACCTGTATTAAAGGGTTACCAGCGTTAGGAAGGTTGAGAACCAGTGCCTTAGAGTGACGGGCCATGCCAGAGTGAAGAAGAGGGAGGTTCTCCCAGGTCAGCTTTATCAGCTGAGTCCCAGCGTCCCCAGGATCTGTGTCCTCCTCAGAACAAATAGGGAGATGTCAGGGACCCCTTCAAAGCAGTGAGTAGCCTGGGTATTTGGCCTCAGGAAGTGATTGGTGAAGTTGCTCATGGTGCTTTACAATCGGTGTTCTTCTCTCTCAGTTCTTTCTTCTCTGCGTGACAAAGGGAAGCATGGTACCACGGAAATCAAGAAAAGCCACATTTACCAAAGCATGGGGACATCTCTTGGGAGATACATTTACATGGCTTGCAAGCCACAGGGGTCTCCCTGTTCATTCTCTCCCTTTCTAGAAAATGAAAGGTCCCCCCCCCCCCCCCGAAAAGGATTTCCCAATAGCTATGGAGCCAGTCCTGGAACTCGCTCTGTAGACCAGTTTGGCCTACTGACAGAGATGCTCCTGTCTCTGCCTCCCAGGTGCTGGGATTAAAGACCCACCACAGCCCGGTGAGAACGAAAGTTGTTGTTTGTGCCTGTGTCACCACCAGCTCTCCAGCACTCGCTAGCTAGCCTTGGGCACTCTGCAGTGGGCTTGCTAGCTAGCCTTGGGCACTCTGCAGTGGGCTTGCTAGCTAGCCTTGGGCACTCTTCAGTGGGCTTGCTAGCTAGCCTTGGGCACTCTGCAGTGGGCTTGCTAGCTAGCCTTGGGCACTCTGCAGTGGACTTGCTAGCTAGCCTTGGGCACTCTGCAGTGGGCTCGCTAGCTAGCCTTGGGCACTCTGCAGTGGGCTCGCTAGCTAGCCTTGGGCACTCTGCAGTGGGCTCGCTAGCTAGCCTTGGGCACTCTGCAGTGGGCTCGCTAGCTAGCCTTGGGCACTCTGCAGTGGGCTTGCTAGCTAGCCTTGGGCACTCTGCAGTGGACTCGCTAGCTAGCCTTGGGCACTCTGCAGTGGGCTCGCTAGCTAGCCTTGGGCACTCTGCAGTGGGCTCGCTAGCTAGCCTTGGGCACTCTGCAGTGGGCTCGCTAGCTAGCCTTGGGCACTCTGCAGTGGGCTCGCTAGCTAGCCTTGGGCACTCTGCAGTGGGCTCGCTAGCTAGCCTTGGGCACTCTGCAGTGGGCTCGCTAGCTAGCCTTGGGCACTCTGCAGTGGGCTCGCTAGCTAGCCTTGGGCACTCTGCAGTGGGCTCGCTAGCTAGCCTTGGGCACTCTGCAGTGGGCTCGCTAGCTAGCCTTGGGCACTCTGCAGTGGGCTCGCTAGCTAGCCTTGGGCACTCTGCAGTGGGCTCGCTAGCTAGCCTTGGGCACTCTGCAGTGGGCTCGCTAGCTAGCCTTGGGCACTCTGCAGTGGGCTCGCTAGCTAGCCTTGGGCACTCTGCAGTGGGCTTGCTAGCTAGCCTTGGGCACTCTGCAGTGGGCTTGCTTCTCTTTCAGGCTTTGTAATCGGTAGCTGTTGGGGGCAAGATAACTGCTTCTGGGATATTTACAGAAACTTCCTTTTTAAAATGAATTTAGCAACAAATTCAATAATAGTTTCTGGAAGCCAGAGCCATAAAGTCGGTGTGGGACTTTGGTAAATACTGGCACAAGAGTTAATGCGGTTCTGAAGGGCAGTGTGCAGTCATTGGCCAGTTTCATCACACCAGGAGGAGGGTCGTTGTTTTCTTGGCGAGGTGGCCTTGACTTGCAGAGCAGAGTTCAGAAGCAGCTCTTGATTGGGAAGGCATCCATCATTCACATGTGTTCCAGCAGCTGTCCTGCCAGGCTGTGGCCTCTGCCATGTCTCATGCATCCAACCTCTGGTTTGGAAAGTTTGCCACACACACCTTTGTAGCCGGCCGTTCTGCCACTCTCTCCTTGAACCTGGGACCACAGCACAAGGGGACAGCAGATGTTCACATGATGAGGATTAATTAGCCTTGAAGACAAGCGAGGTTCTGCCACACAGCCCTGCCTTGGAAACAATGCCATGGGGAGTGAGCCAGCCTCAGCAGGACAGATCTGATTCTCTTGCGGGAAGTAGCAGGCCAGAGTAGTCAGACTGAGAGGTGAGATAGACTTTGCTAAGGGCTGGGGAGAAGAAGTGAGGAGCCCCGTATAATGGGTACAGAATTCTAGTTTGAGAAGATGAGGAAGTTTTAGGGATGGGTGGTGGTGATGCCTACACAATGGAGACATTTTACATATATTGTTTTATAATTAAAAAAAATTGGAACCAAGTGCAGTGGCCCTTGTCTATACTCCAATCACTGGGGAGATTGAGGCAGTACAATCATGACTTCAAGTTTAGTCTGGACCACATAATAGAAGTATTATGGAGCCGGGCGGTGGTGGCGCACGCCTTTAATCCCAGCACTCGGGAGGCAGAGGCAGGCGGATCTCTGTGAGTTCGAGACCAGCCTGGTTTACAAGAGCTAGTTCCAGGACAGGCTCCAAAACCACAGAGAAACCCTGTCTCGAAAAACCAAAAATCAAAAAAAAAAAAAAGTTCTATGGACTACATTGTAAGACTTTCAAAAAGAAAAGTCAGCAATCTATGAGCTTGTTCTTTACGTGATGGGGCCTTGGCTCAGCCTGCTCCTACCTCAGGTGCTGCCGTCCTTTTCCGCTTCCACGAAAAAGAGCTGTGAGTTCAAACGCAGGTTCCTTTCTCTTGCCCTACCCCACCAGGTCCCATTTCCCTTATCTTCAGGTCAGTGTCATGGTGATGTGTGTTGACTCCTAGAAATAGCAGCTCCCCAGGAGCAAAGGTGCTGCAAAAATGGCAGGTGCTCGTGATCTGGAAGCCAATCAAGTTTCTTTGCTTGGCCAAGAAGGCCTGAGTTCCGAGTCCAGCAACATCATGGTAGCTCTGTTCTCTTTTCTGAATAAGAACTGAAATGTGTGTGCTGGCTGTCAGGGGTGACTAGTCAGGTCATCCATGTCACTCCCCCAGAAGAAGCCGCCTCTTGTTCCCCAACATAGTCAGATGGGCAGACTCTGGGGTGTAAAATTGCAGGGAGGCATCACTCAGCTTCACAGGCTTGAAGAGTAGCCTGGCCAGGTCCTCTCCAGGAAAATCTTTACGTGTTGGCTCTTTTATCTATGAGCTGGGTGGGCACAGGAGGGTCATTGCCCCCATGTGGCTCTGTGGGAACAGGATTGAAAGGCTCAATGGTGAAACTGTCAGGCAAGAGGGCTGGACGGAGCCCCAGATGGTACTTGTCGTTTCCCGCTCACAACTGGCTCCTGTTCTTGAAGACGGAGAAGACAGTGGAGAGAGCTGCTGTCAGGTTGTCAGTTCTGGTCCTGGGAAGCAGGTCCGCTCCCAGAGAGCTGGGAAGGCACTTTCTCAGTGCAGGGCAGCCAGAAATAGAAAGGGATCATTTCTGCCAGCCCCACCTCTCTGGCTGGCAGCTCTGACATCAGACCTGGTCCTTGGTTGGGAACTACACGTCTGTGACATCTCTGCTTCTTCCCTTTTCGCCTGCAGAATTCCAGAGGCAGGAGAGTGTCCGGTCCCAACACAAAGGCATCCAGTTATATGACACCCCTTATGAACCTGAAGGCCAGAGTGTGGACTCAGACTCGGAGAGCACTGTGAGCCTTCGGCTGCGGGAGAGCAAGCTACCCCAGGATGATGACAGGCCCGCCGACGAGTACGACCAGCCTTGGGAGTGGAACCGGGTCACCATCCCCGCCCTGGCAGGTAGGAGCAATGGCCCTGCTTGGAAGGCAGTCGCTGAAGAAGGCTCAGCACCAGCTGAAGTAAACAAAATACAAGCAGGTCCAGTCTGACCAGGCTAACACCAGTTGAATTGGGCTGTTCTTTTTCCTAGTGCCCAGTGGCCCTGCAAAGATGATAAAGGTTCCTGAGGGAAAAGAGGACAGGCTGGCATTGTAGGTTTCCAGTCCAGTCTCCCCACTGGCAGGGCTGATCCCCTGGGCCTCATGGAGTCCCTTGTGTCTCATCTGCTCCCTCATGGCTTCAGGGGCTGCTGTGTTTCTCACCTGTAGTTGTGACTTGAGCCCTCCTCACTTAGCCTCCCAGAATCAAAGTGACCCCACTACAGCCTTTCTACAACGTGGTATGGCCACATGTCACAAGTCAGAAACCCCTGCTCACACTCTTTGGTTTCAGGCCCACTCCTGAGACTTTATGCTCACCCTGATGGTCTGAAGTTGAGAAAAGACAGTTTATGCTCATGAGAAGTCGGGGCCCCTGGGATGACTGGCACAAGCGTTGTTTAGAGGAATTTTGTGCATCCATGTGGTGGAATATTGCACAGTCAAGAGTAAGTGAGGTTCGGAGTGAGCTGATAACAACCAAGGGCAATGCTTCTATGTAAGATTAAAACGTGAAAGCCAGATGCCAAGCCACTTAACTGCACGTAAGAGTTTAGACACAAAAAGAGGGGCACGGGGAGACTGATCCAATCCCACAGTGAAGTCATAGGAGAGCTTTATTTATTTATTTATTTAAATATTTACTTATTATGTATACAATATTCTGTCTGTGTGTATGTCTGCAGGCCAGAAGGCGGCACCAGACCCCATTACAGATGGTTGTGAGCCACTGTGTGGTTGCTGGGAATTGAACTCAGAACCTTTGGAAGAGCAGGCAATGTTCTTAACCATTGAGCCATCTCTCCAGCCTCAAGAGTTTTATTTAATGTTCTTTCTTATGCACAACTAGACTCTGTTTCCCTTCGTAGGCCCCTCGGGTGATGTTCTAGACACCTCAGCATGTGCCCTACGTTGTTCCCAGGATATATGACATGCCCTGCACACACCCCAGTACTCCTCCTGAAATGTGCATCACAGCCTACCTGGAAAGAGCCTGACCTCCCAGTACCCTGCTCAAATAGCCTTGTCTCTGTGAGCACCACCCTGGTACCTAGCCATGCCTGCTACAGATACCCTTGCCTGCTCTCTAGGCTGTGAGTCTTTTCACACCATCACAGAGTTGTTTCTGTAGACGTAAGGTAACCCAAGGGGGTAGGCTCCAACAAGAGTGGGAGGAGTTTGTGCCGTCCATAGCTCATTGCAAATACTGACTTGATTGAAGGGCGGAAAGAGGGCAAGTGTCAGCTGTCCCAGATACCTTATGTCCAAGCATGAGTCAGCACCACAGACAGGTGCTAGGGTTCCCCTGTCTCATCCTAGATCCCCATGGGGGCCTGGAGGACTCTTGTTGCTTGTGATGCTCTCGTCTAGTCTGACACTTGACTCTCTAGCATGGTCTCTGACCAGCAGTGTTGGCATTGCCTATGAGCTGCTCAGAAATCTCACATCTGGGGCCACTGAGATGGCTCGGTGAGTAAGTAATGGTGTTTGCCACCAAGCCTGTTGACCACAGTTCAAACCCTGGAACCCACATGATGGAAAACAAGAATTCTTGACAGTTACCCTCTGATCTCCACGTATATACCTTGGTACATGCACACGTATAACCAAGTGCGCACGCACACACACAGACACACACACACACACAACAGACAGGCATCATTTAAGTTTGGACCTTATACCAGACTTACACAGTTGGAATATGTTGTACCAGATTCACACCACTAGGTCATCTGTGTAGAAGTACGAGTGAGATACACTTAACCGGGAGGACATCATCTCTCAGAAGGCTGTCTGTCTGGAACCTGCCCACTCATGCTCGGAAGAAGTTTTAGAACTTCTGTACCTGTAGTTGTTCTCAAAAAGGCCTCAGATAGAACTAGCTGACAGAAAGACCCACAGCATCCATTCTGGCCTTGGTTCGAGTCACTGATTTGTTATCTCTGGTGCCACTGCCGCTCACATTCTTGTCCTGCCTTCTCTCATCAAGTGTCTTGGCTTCACATGCCCCACTCCAGAGCAGATGCTGGCTATGCTCATCCCAGACAGCTTTGAGCTCCCTACTCATTTCCTGGGTTGAAAGGGGAGGTGGATGCATCACTCCTGGGCTGGAGGACACTGAGCAAGCTTCAGTCTGTCCCCACGCAGCAGTGGGTAGAGGCCAGCAGGCCACTCCTTAGGTAAAGATGATGCTTTACAGCAACTTGATTGGATTGCTGAGTGTCATCATGGTCCCATTTGCCAGCCTTCACGTGTGGCTTCTTGGAATGAAGGGCAGAGTTTCCTATTGAGTGGCTGCTAAATGTTACCTGAGTGTGCATGCACATGGGGCGTGCATGAATAGGTATGCACATGCAAGTGAGTTCCTGGAGTGTTCAGGAACTGGCAGTGCTCTTAGGAACAGCTGTGGAAGATGAAGTTTGCTGAGCACAGCTGCCTCTTCCTCTCTTTCCTGCTCTGTTTTTGTGACTCTGCCTGCTCAGGCTGATTGGGGAAACCTGAGTGGGGGCCTTTTCCATGCTTTTAAAGTCCGGAAAGGCATAGAACTGGGCCCTGGAAGGGGGAGGTAGGCGCTTGGGGGGAGCTTGACCGTGTGGATGGACTTTCCAGCCTCAGAGGCTGCTGTAGCAGCTGCAGTGAGAAAGGTGGGTGGCACAGACTCACTTTGCAGCAGTACTGTGGACAGTAGGCAGTTCTGAGCCCATGCCTGTTACCCTGGAGCCCCAGCATGCCGTGAGAGTAGGCAGGGAGACCACAGGTCTCAGTCTGTAGAGCAGGTGCTGTATAGCCTGCAGGATGCTGTCCTGCCCTGAGCTGGTGACAAGAGGCCCTTTTCAGTCAAGATCTAGCATGCTGTGTGTGTGTGTGTGTGAGAGAGAGAGAGAGAGACAGAGACAGAGACAGAGAGAGACAGACCCTCTTGTCCATGTCTCACTGGGACCTTAGTTCACAGGACGATTCTGTGGTCGCTCTACATCTGGGAGGAGGATATTGTGAGAGGATGAGGTAGTCCTAGCTCCCTGGAAGGACAGTCTTACCTTTGCTCAGGACTTTGCAGCGCACATTTTGTTAAGGATAAGGACTTGGGGAGTTAGACAAGAAATCTCCCCAGTTCTTTAGCTTAACCCTTGGTACACCCTTCTTTTTGAGCTTACTGAGGTAGTGAAGGTTGATGTGACTGCAAGGTGAACAGGTTCTGCACAGAACTTGGCCTGTGACCAAAGACTGGGGACATGGAAGCATCATGTTGGGTGGCAGGCATTTGCTACTGTCAGAGATCTGGAAGGATTTTACCTCCCCAGAACTGCCTCACTGGCAAAGGATCCCAGCAGCCCTGCTGAAGCCTCCCTTCTGGAAAGTGTGGGCTCACCACATGCCTTTCTTATGCTTGTCTCATTGTGTCCTTGTGGCTACCCTCTGCACGCTTAGTTTCCTTCTTTTAGGTATGGGACAGATGGACTCCTGCCTGGGCAGTAACAAAACCAAGTCTTAACTGCAGAGCCTATACCTGAGCCTCCCCTCTGTCACATTGTAGTAGGAGGAGCTTAACCCCCAAAATAACCACACCAAAATTGTATTAAGTTACTGCCTGGTCCATTGGCTAACTCTCACATCTTGATTAACCCATTTCCATTAATGTGTATCACCACTTGACTGTGCCAGCATGAGTCCAACCAGTATCCGGCTTGGGCAGGAGAATCAATGGTGTCTGCCACACTTCCCTTCTTCCCAGCATTCTGTTCTGTCTACTCTGCCCACTTAAGGCTTCCCTATCCAAAGGCCAAGGCAGTCTCTTTATTTAACCAATGAAAGCAACACTCAAACAGAAGAACCTCCTACACTATCACATAACTGATGTTTGGGACCTGCACCTGCTGCAGCTCCTGCCTCACATGCCAGTATGAGGTACTAAGACAACTCCAAGCTAGAATTTCTCCTTCTAGCATAAGGAGGGCCCTGCATACTGTACAGTCTTGTCATGGAGAAACTGAGGCAGAGGGGAAGAGAACCACAAACCACCTTGTGGTGTAGTCAGTCAGGCCACCTGGATATGTGGGAGATGTGCCAGTTGGGTCTGAGATAATCAGAGCACTTGATGGTGTGCATTCCAGCAGAAGGACCAGGGGTGTAAGCCTTGAGAGGGGGCCTGTGGGCCTTGGAGAGACAGTTGCTTCTTCTGCCACTCACCATCTCAAGGTTGTCTCTCTTCAGTGTCCTGGGTTCTGCCAGAGGCAGAAATAGAAAACAGAACATGCTCAGATGGGCTTATCTCTCAGCCATTACTTGAGGCCCTTGTCTGTGCCCAATATCATCTCCTGGGCATGTTGATCTGCCTTTCAAAGTTGAGGACAGTGTGTCTCATCCATTAAGATCGGTGGGCAGGAGTCAGACAGTCCCATGTTTGCTTGACAGCTCAGCCATTCATCAACTTAGCCCCCAGGCAGGATGCTCATCTCCCTGACCCTCAGAATTCTCATCTAAAGAGAGATGATGGTCACAGATCGTACAACATGAGCTTCTAATGATCGAGGAAAATCTCTGGATAAAAAGACATGTGTCAGTCAGGCGGAGGTGGTGCACACCTTTAATCCCAGTACTCGGGAGGCAGAGGCAGGGAGATCTCTTAAGTTGAAGACCAGCCTGGTCTGCAGAGTGAGTTCCAGGGCAGAGAAACCCTGTCTCAAGGAGGCAAAAAAGAAAAACAAAAAGAGGGCTGGAGAGATGACTCAGAAGCTAAGAGCATCGACTGCTTTTCCAGAGGACCTGAGTTCAGTTCCCAGCAACCTCATGGTGACTCAGAATCATGTATATATAATAAAATCTGAAGCCTTCTTCTGGCATGTAGGCAAATAGTAGACAGAC